ATCTACAAAAAAATTTAAACAAATAAAGAAAAAAATATATAGAATTTTGCATCAAGAAGGATTTTTATGGAAAAAATCAAAGAAAGGAATTGAAATGCCACAACAAGTGATAGGCAACAAAGAAGAGCAAGAAAAAATATTAAAAGAATTTCAGAATAATTTATGGGCATGGCATAGGAGAATTTGGACTACTTTTGCTAAACTTAAAGAATAATATTGATGGAAAAATATATATTGAGATGTATTTATATTTGTAGAATTGTGTGAAACTTATCAAACATATTTTAATATAAAACACCAAGATGATCTCTATCCTATATAACCTTTGACTATTCAATTTAAATGGGTTGTTGATTTGGTTATAATGCCAACAAGATTATGGCAAATGAGATATTTGGTCTTGGTACATGAAGATTTATTAAACCAAATAGAAGATAGAGTATTAAGAACAAAGTCTATAGATGGAATTTATATATTTTTTCTTGAAGGTATTATTTGCGACTATGAATGTGTAGAAAAAATCATTATTGGTTGTAGAGAATTAAATATACAAGAAGCTTGTGAATTCTTTGAAAGATGTGGAATTAAGTTATCATTAACTACTACTTATAATCTTGAAGGAAATGCAAAAAAAAATTATGATCATCCATCAATTATAAAAGCATTAAATAAAGCTTGTAATGAGAGGTAAGAAAATAGCCATGACTTTTGCCATTTGTATTGTAGGCTGACAAAACAACTCATAGTTCAGTAATAGGATATATGCCTATTGAGCTTATGATAGGTCAAAAATCTATTATGTCAATTGAAGAAAAGATTCCTACTTATAGTGTACTGTGATGAGAAGATGAATTGATAAGAAAGGAACTTTTAGCTATTAAAATTCAACAATTGGAGCAAAGACCAAAAGATGTACAAATAACATTAGAAAGATTTAAAAAATCATGGTTACAAAATAAGGCACAATTTAATAAGCAATATTAATTGAGACCTAAAGAAATTGAAGAAGGTAATGGAATATTGGTCTATAATAGTAGCTTAGACAATCAACATAGTTCTTTAAGAAAATTTTCTAAATAATGGTTTGGACCATATGTAGTAAGAATTGTGCATGATAATACAATTTATTCATTATGAGAATTAGATGGAAGAAGATTAAAAATACGAGTTGCAAGGAAGCAAGTGAAGATATTCAAACAAAGATAAATAGAAATAAATATAGAAGATTATTCTGATGACATAAATCTTTCAAGACAAGAAGATGAATTTGACTTATACAACAAAAATAATGAAGAGGATTTAGGTGAAGGCATGGAAAGCATAATATGAATCAAATAAGATTTGAACTATTTGGTATATACTAAAGGATATACAACTTCAGATGAAGTGCATATTGTATATTAACATGATTATATGGTGAAAAATGAAAACATGGATGTTGTTATAAATGAACCTAGTAGAAATATGTGCTAGAAAAACAAGGATAATTAATAGAAAGGTAATAAAAAATTTAGTCTTAATGCTACTTTTTAAAGAATGAACTTCTATTTACTTTATAAAAGCATAAATACCTCAAATCAAAGTAAATAAGATAATTAATTACTATAGATATATTTAAAAAGAATTTACTAATAGGTTCAAGCAAAAATTATCTCAAATTATCAAATATTGAAATCCAAAGAAGACCGGTTGTTAACCTAAGTTGAAATCAAATCTCAAAGCACAAAACTACATACCTACAATGATTTTGGAATTCTTATGGAGATCAAAGAGCAAGATTTGAGAGAAAACTAGTAAAGAGATTTTTAAGTATTAATTTTATATCAATCAAGTTAATATTTAGTTTTTGAGAGATTTTTAAAATAAGTGATGTTCTTTGTTGGATTAGATTTTGGAAAATAAAATTATGTTTATAAAATTGAGAGTTTCTTTAGTTTTGTAGTATGTATATAAGTGAATTCTAGAAAATGTATTTATGTTCTAATTTTTTAGTATATGTGTAAATTTTTAAGTCAATCAAATGATTAAATCAAAGTGTATAAAGATTTTTATGGATTGAAGTCTCAAAAATTGGAATTTGAGGATCAATGAGTATATTTAAGATCTTCAACAATTTATTAATTAGATTGAAGTGAATTCTTTATATATAAATACTAGACTTGATTTTCCATAGTTTAAGTATATTTTGGAGGCAATGCAATAGTTCAAGAAGGGAATATTGGCACTGAAAGTTCAACATTCAGATTGGAGTAAGAGGCCAGCCAATACCCAAGCAAAATTTAGGGTTGATCTTCTATTTGGTAAGTTTGATCTTCTTCAAATTTTTTGTGCTAGCTGCCAACTTAGTTGTTGAAAGATATGTAAAATCTTAACTTAGATCAATGGTATAATTAATAGATATTGAGATTCTAAACTGCTCTAAAGTTAAGTTAATTTGATTAGAATTTGACTTAGGATTTAAAAATTGGTTAGGATTTAGGATTTGTTTAGGATTTAGTTAGGATTTAGTTAGGATTTGACTTAAGATTTAAATAAAGACTACTAAAATTTTAATTAGAATTAAAATAAGATTTGGTTAAAATTTATTTTAGATATATTTTGGATTTCATTTTAATACTTCTTTTGAATTTCTTTAGGATTTCTTCATGCTTCTTTTGTAATATTTTTGAGATTTTTTTGAATTAATTAAAGCTTGATTAGGATTATTTAGATTTAATTAGAATTCTTTAGAATTCTATTAGAATTAAAATCTTTTTGTTATAATACTACTGTTATCTTCTATAGTTAAGTGCTCGATGCATTTTCAAGTAAGGCTTCACATAATATAATATTATGCTTTATGATTCCTAAAATCTATACCTTTGATCCTATCTGCAATCTTAATTGCTTCTTCAAATGTTTGTGGATTCTTTAGTTCCATCTCTCGTTGGACCCTAGGTTTCAATCCTTGTAAAAATTGATTTATTATCTCTGTCCTTGAAACATTGCCAACATGAATGCATAGAGACTTGAATCAAGAGACATAATCTTGTATCCACTTAGATTGTGTAAGATTTATCAATTGATTGCATGCTATGTTATTTGCATTGATGGGCCAAAATTGATTCTTGAACTTGGTCTCAAACTCCTCTCAATCACAAAGGCCCCCTTGAGCTCTATAACTTTGAATTTGATATTCCCACCAAATAACTACCACATCTCTCAAAATAATGGTTGCATATATAATTCTTTTGGTGGTATTTGTCCAAGATAGTCCAAGATATTATTGAATATTAAAGAATCATTGATATATATCTTCTTGCCTTGAAGTCCCAAAATATGTACCAAGCTTATTCAATTTTAGCCGAGCAAATGTTGGTTTTTTTTTATCTTAGAGGCTTCTTTTTGCGCTTATAGAGTAACTATCTGATGTAGGAGGTGTTTTATGTGAGCCTCCATCTGGGGTTGCTTCATCATATCTTCCATATTCCAATTTTCTCATTTGACTCCACTATTGTAATGCCTTCTCTCCTTCTAGTTGGCTTCTTAAGAGTAGCTTGTAGTAGCCTCAACACAATATTAATGTAACCACAACAACTGACCTTCAACTAGACGGTCGCTATTGACATGCTATCAAAGAACAATCTAATATTTTTTTTAATATCAATGAAATGGGATTGAAATATCTCTAAAATCTATAATCCTTCTAATCCACAATAATATAAATTCCATCACAATGTATGACAAATTAGACTATAAGAAAAAAAAAATAGAACAGAATTAAATAAGAAGATGTAAAACCAAAATTTACTAAGAGAAAGGGTCAAAAGCTATATATGATCAAATGTCCAAATGGCCTTGGCTTGTATTATTTATATTTTGTCCAACCATCTTGGAACTTTCTAAAATGTTCTTAATGGTAGATCCTACCTAAATAACCACTCAAAGCTCTTTCTAAAATTTTCCATGGTGGATCGTACATAATCCACTAACCTAATCTCAATTCTAGAAACTTCTATAAACTTTTCAAACATGACTCCAACTATCTATCCATATGCATCAATAATACAAATATCTTATCTATATATTGTTATAACAAACAAGTCAAATACAACCAATTCTTCCACATTGGAGATCAAATTGTATATTGCATAGAAAAATGATGTGAGCATAAGCAAAAATTCAAGGCTTGTATTATTGTAGCTTATTTAATACATGTGTTGGTAAGTTTTTGTTTATAATTTATAATAGAAATAATACAAGTGTTGGTTGTGGAATCCGATTAAATAGGATGATAATATAAGCTAACAAGAAGAGACATGATTATGATTGATCTAAATCTTATCCCATATATGTAGGGCTATCTTCCCCTACTTCCTTATTAAATTAATGGTTGAGCCTACTATCATGCAAGTCAACTTAATGGAAGCTTTAATACAAAGAGCCGTTTGGCATTTGGCTAAATAATAGCCCTACATAGAGATGCTCTATTTCATTCAAGAAATACGTGAAACTCCTCATCTATTTTGGGTACTATACCCATGTTAAAAAATTCCCTCTGAGGTAGTGAGACACTCAGTAAAAGAAACGTGGGCTGGTCACACCGTTACAACTCATGAATTAAAATGCTACCTTTTGAACAAAATCAAACAAAAAACGAAGTCGCTAAGGCACATATTTTGTTTTGATGGAAAGCGGTCTCAATGTCAATAAGACATTGTGTACTGCCCCTTATTGTTTTAGGGTTGTCTTTTTGACAAATGAGGACCTCATGGCCATCATGAGACACCTTTCAGGCAGTCAATGCCCGAAGCAGGTGAGTTCATCACGGCACTTCTCCTTCACAGGCAAGACCTAGAAGTGAAGCATGCCGAAAAAACCCGGTCAAAAGGAGCAAAACTGCGTAGAAAATGTTGGGCCGTGTCCCCTAAGCCCTAAATTTGAACAGGTTTGGATCACGAATACGGGAGACTCGGGGAGACCTGATGAAATTTTCACAAAAACTCATGTGGTTGACCCCACAAATGATGGGCCTGACGGTCCACAACCACCATGACCCTTTCCTCATCCCTGACACAATTTATACGCCGTTCGAAACTATTAGCATTTCGTGGCAGGGATGGTGTTATCCATAAAGGGTGCTCATGTGAATCCACAGAAGTTGGTTGTTTGCTAGGGGTTTGGGGTGATTTGTAGCTGGGCCTTTCGCTCGGGTTTCTCCCTCGCGATTTGTCTCTTTGAGGTGAGTCGTGAGCCCTTGTTGATGCTTTCAAACGCTGGGAACTCTTTTTGTTAGTGGCGTTGGACTTGATTTCTGTCTGAATGGCGGAGATTTCGAGAAATAGATGGAATCTCGGCTGGTGTTGCGCAGAATAAGATTTTCCCAATCTGAGTGTGGTCTATATTGATTTCTGTTACGAAACTGGTCCTGGTATCAAGTTCCATCAGCCAAGTTGTGTCTTCAAATTGTCTTTTCAACCTGAAAAATTCTCTGTTATCTGTGGACAGGCCACCGGATTGCAGTTTTTTTTCTCTGTAACGAGCTTTAGCAAAAATGACGCCCTTGTCGATTATCAGTCTCCTTTTAGTGGCGGGGGTAGCATGGTTTACCGGCACTGACCCCATGAAGCTCTCCATGGGCCGGGACATATCAGAATTCGACCCCCAATATATCGAACCACCTCCCGCCTCTCTGCTCAAGGACTTCCCTCGCGACAACGAGAACAAGCTGAAGAATGGAGAAATCAAGTGGCAAGGTGAACTCCTCGGGCCTGAGAGCTTGACATTCGACGCACAAGGTCGGGGGCCGTACACAGGTGTTTCCGATGGCCGCATTCTACGATATGACGGTCCGGAGCTCGGGTGGACCACCTTCGCGTATACTTCAACAAACAGGTTTGCGTTGGTTTGCCCAGATTTTTTTTCCTCCATGTCTAGCTCTTTTCCTTCGAACGGTGCAGAAAAACCAAGGGCATTACTGGATTAAAATAGTGATGTCAAGGATTCTGGGGTGCTCAGGTCATACGCGTGTGCGCCCAAGAGCCCGTTGGCCTTTAACCTAGCCCTTGAGCACGTGTGTGGACGTCCTCTGGGAATTCGCTTCCACAAAGAGACAGGCGACCTCTGGATCGCAGATGCATACTTGGGCATCATGAAGGTAGGGCCAGAAGGCGGACAAGCGGAGCTTGTGCTGAACGAGATTGACGGCGTGCCAATGAAGTTCATGAACGACCTCGATTTCGACGACGAAGGCAACATGTACTTCACAGACAGCAGCACCCGTTGGCAGCGGCGACAATTCCTCCTCTCACTCCTGGAAGGCGACGACACCGGCAGGTTCATCAAATACAACCTCGCCACGAAGCAAACCACTGTACTCATCGATCACCTTCGGTTCTCCAACGGTGTCACGGTCAGCAAGGATGGCACATTCGTGCTCATTGCCGAATGCCGCATGGGGAGGCTATGGCGGTACTGGCTGAAGGGAAGCAAAGCAGGCACTCACGAGCTTTTCGCAGATCTACCAGGATTGCCCGACAACGTTCGTCGCAACGAAGCAGGCGATTTCTGGGTGGCACTCCACTGCCGCCGCAGATCAGCCGAAGAGTTCCTGAGCAAGAACCCTTGGATCCGAACCCTGATCATCCGCCTCCCGATCCCGCTGAAGCTCGTCTACGTGTTACTGGCCGGAAAGCCTCATGGCGTCATCTTACGCTACGGCCCTGACGGCACCATGAGGGAGATTCTCGAGGACCAAACCGGCAAGGTGGCTAAAATGGTGAGTGAGGTGGAAGAACACGACGGCAAGCTATATCTCGGCTCAGTTCTCTTGCCCCAGATCGTCGTCTACACTTTGCCGCAAACCGAATCGCCAGCAACGCCCGCCACCGCAACGGAGTAAAATCCCAAATCACAAGCATCGAGTCACTAATCGCATTCCTTGGAAAGTGCTCGAACACGGCGCACCATCTTCACCACATCACGCTGCTGCTGCTGCTGCTGCTGCTTATCCCGATCGAGCGAGGGAGTTCGGCGAGGGCCACCGAGATTTTAGTGTCCAGAATGTTGATAGATTCTCCCGCAAACTTGTTGCCGTCGAGGCCAATTTCGAGCTCCACACCCTCGTCGCAGACCTGTTCACATTTGAAGGCGTTTTTTATTTTGACTCGCCGTAGTGGTATGATCTTGGAGTCCAGATCTCGGCTCTTTACTGTACGAGGATTCTACTTTTTGTCGTGCGTTGTGGGGTTCTTGGTGATGGAATTGTGATGCTAATGTTGTTAAGAATTCCATGTGGCATGATTGTATATTATCTCTAGTTTGGGAAGAGGTTTTTGGCAAATTGTAAGGTTGTTTATAAAGATGTACAATTGACCTTGTCGTTGACCTCATAAGGCTTTATTACGTAACACCAAAAATGTAAAGTTTAAACATGTGAAGTGCGTATTTAGGATATTGCAAAATTTTATGTAATGTGTGGTTTATAAGAGAAATTTCAATTATAAATCTAAACGGAACTTATGTAAATAACTATTTCTTTGATCTTCAGAGAAGTGTTCGATGAATTCTGGAGAAAAATTTAGCTCTATTATCTAATTTTTCGTTTGTATGTTTTCTTTCGTTTAATCCAAATTTTCCAATAAACTAAAATTTCACTGATATATATTTTTGAATTGGTTCTCATAATAATAATAGCAAATGAATAAATAAACCAATTTCTTAAATCTATTTTATTTTAATATGAACATTGAATTATATTAACCAGAAAAGATCTATTCAGCTGAACATTAAAACAGTTTAGGCACACTTCAATAAACCTTTAGCTTTGAAAACTTGTGTGAAAAAAAGAAAAAAACTTGAAACTCTGCGCAATTTTCAAATAGTTTACTTTTGTTTTGAAAAAAAAGATTTCTTCACGACAAGGCATGGGAACCAGTTCACACAACCGGGAACGATCTATAGCAAAAAAAAACTCAAAAAGAAGAGGCGCGCTGACGTTGATTTGAACTGAGAATGGCGGAAGTTTTAAGGAGCCATGGTGAAGGTAAAATTCAGCGACGCCAGAGCCTGTGAATTAGAAGAACCAGTTGCAGCCGACAGTCATTTTTGATGTCTCCACGAGGCCCTTTGTGATGTTGCGCATGAGGTTGCGGACGGTGTTCTCATGAGCCGATTTGTTCATTTGTGATGAGTTATCTATGCCGTCGCAGTACGTAAATCGACGTGGAGTAGCAGAAGAAGAAGAAGCAGAAGCAGTGACAGACAGGTGCGCGTGGAAGTATGCGTTGGGAGATTTATTCGGCTCCGCAGGTGCGATACAGTTTTCTTTGCAGCCAGTGGATGCTCTTTTGTGTTAATCTGAGAATCTGATTCTGCAACTATGACCTGACGTTCCCCGCCTGTGCGTTGCTTACGATGCCGCAATTGGTATGTCTCTCTCTGTTTGCAACAACCACCTCTACGGAGATCATTCATTGAACAGAGAATGGCATGTCATCTATGTCGTAAAACTACGCTGATAATTGGCAGATTTGGTTTATCCTACGGGAGTTCTTCGTGTAAATACAATTACTCGAACAGTGTGATATGACATTGGCAAAAATGAGAAGTCGAGCTTCTCGGGCATTGCTGTGTGCGTACTGCGATGTGTGTTATTAGAACTTAGTATCTTTGATGAAGCCAGTACGCTAGTGAAGAATTTTGATCCTAACGTAATTTGTTATCGGAGGTTTGCTGGTAATACCAGGCAATTTCATGGTCACAAAAATGAAAACTACTGCATGATTAAATTGATTGTCCAATGTGTTTGGGGTTATAAGGTCGGAGGTGAAGGGATTTGAACTCATATCATGGTGTTGTCACACTTAACAGGATCATTGCAAAGGGTAGATAGAAGTAAAATCCCGAGCAGAATGACAGAATGACAATCTAAAGTTGTCTCTCAACTTATGCTCCTCAGATTCTAATGCAACTGGATAAGTTTAGTTTTTGAATTCTTAACTGGTGATCATGAAGTTCGCGGTTTCTATTACGGAAGTGCTATATGGAGTGACTTCTTAGTTGCCCTTACATTGAAGATAGTTCTGGTCAATTTTAATGTCATCATGCACTTCACTTGCAAACAAGAAAGTCGAAAGTCGAAAGTCTGATTGCATTCATGTCTTTGCATTAGTGCAAATAATAATACCCCACTTGAAGGAATCCTGAGTGAACACCCAAGAACCAAGCAGTAGTTCAAATTAACCTTCATCATATATGAAACGAGTTACAACTCCTTAATTGTGTTTGCGTAATATTTGCATTGCAGTCTTGCTGCAGCCAAGAGGAGGATTGTTTTACGAATATTAAGTGGAGTCCGAGCAAGGGGAGTAGCCTAGGTTACAGCGCAGAGCAACTGGCATTGTTGCAGGAGGATGTCTGGTTTGAACAGGAACAGTTAAAGCAGGGGTGAATGCACCAGTAAGTATTGACTTCGATGCTTTTGGGTCGACGTTGCTTGCAGCATCAAGTTTTTTTTGTATGTTTTTCATTTCAGCTGCAATTACGAAGTATTTCGCTATAATGAATAATGCGATGGTTCAGCGACGGGCACAACGCATTCGTCAACATAAATTATAATAATACTGAAGTAAGTTCGTGGACATCATCACAGGAGCTATATTTTAATTTGTGGCGAGCGTGGTGCTTTCATCATGGCTGGGGCATCTGGCACACCGGAAAGCTTGAGTGAACAGAGAGAGATTTTACTGCATGGCATCGCTCTGTTCATAGTTTTATGGAATTCGATGATCCCCACTGTACATGCTGAAGTGCTGGCACCAGCAACACTCAACCTTACACTATTTACCATGGCTCCAACCAAGGCATTTCTCAATTCACCAGGGCAAAAGGTATCACTTGAAGTACCATCCATTTCGGCGTCTCATTTGCCGAAGTTCGCACCTGCTGCTGGCCGAAACCCCGACACTCTGCTCACTTCACCTTCCATTCTTAGTTCAGAATATGCCATGAATAACAAGGGTCATAAGCTATACACGACACAGTTACTTGCGTCACGTGGATTGCTAGTGACAAAAATGGCATGCAGCATGCCGTCCACCGAGAGTAGGTACAACGAAGGCACTCCGTCGAATAACTTGAGACACAGGACGATTGTTCCCATTGTAGGATCGCTGACTTCATATTCAGAGAACTCCAGCCTAGGCCCCACTCTGGACTACCCTAATCTGGATGTTTCGCCTGCCTGTCGGGTTCATCGGCTGCGTAGCCAACAGACGCTCGAAATTTTCGATGCTTCGGCAAATGCTAGTTCAGTGCGTGTGATTCTGTCCAACATGATTCACCAACGGAAGTATGTCATTGAGAAGGTCGGCCTGACTGGTCCCTTTCCAGATCTGTGGGCAGACACCAATCTCACTACACTCGGCCTCTCCAGGAACAGTCTTGAAGGTCCAAAGTCATCCAATATCTCCAATCTTTCCCAATCGATGGACCTTGAGCTGGGTTCTAATTCAACGAGGGGAAAAATTCCATCGTTGCCTGAAGATCTTATCGACCGCAGCGGCCCTGAACACAACATCAACAACAACAACAGACGTTCTGGATCCGTCCCAACCAACCTCGGGAATGTCGCTAATGCTCATTTAGATCGTAGCAACTGCAGTTTCATGGGGACCATTCCAGCGTCTATTGGCAGAGTTTCTGAGTTGCAGCAGTTGGATCTCAGCAACAATTCTATCAAAAGTTTCAAACTATTCGTGTATCACTTCCTTTGTCAGCTTCACGAGTTCAAGGCGGTTCGAAACGCTCAGCTGTGCCACAATGCCACCACATTGCCTCCAAAGATAGCTGAAGTACTGACTTTGTGCAATGTTAGTGGCTTGATCGGTGGGCAGAGTGTCGTCCCTCGGCGACCGCCAGCGCCAGCGCCACCGCCACCGCCCTATGTTTTCCCTCCAACACAACCTCCGTATGCCGAAGCTCCAGGACCCTCTCAACAAGAGCAAATTTCAGAAGGAGCGAGAGAACTGGTTTTGATAATAACAGGTTTTCTGGTTGCCTCGTTCTGTTTTACCATCTTCATGTTTGCGTGGAAACAAATCTTCCGCGGTGGTAAGAGGGGTCGTCGGATTCACAACGATCCCATGTTAGATCCGGTTCACGATAATCCCATGGATGATCCGGTTCACGACAATCCCATGAATGATCCGGTTCACGATAATCCCATGAATGCTAATCTCTGAATTATGACGAGCTGAAGCCACAATCTTTCGGAATTAGGGTAAAATGCAACGAAGAGAAGGCGATTCAAGCTTCCTGAGCTGCATTTGCACTTCTGAGTGGAGGTCATTGCACCTTCGCAATCAGGGGCAGTTAAGGGTGTGGAGCTATTGCCATCCCTCTGCCTGCGCCTCGCATCTCCTCGTCCTGCACCACACCCTAGCTGCATAGACTAGGTATAGTTCTGTTGCAGAGTAAAGCCTACCCTGTGGCAAAATGAACATTTCCAATGAGTTGATCAGAAGCTAAATAGGAAAATTAGGTCAATTATATCTTTACGGTACCGCCCCTTGAAACACTTGACCGAAACCTTAAACTGAGTTTCTCTCACTATCTTATCAATTTGATCACATTGTTGTGACTTGACATATTAGACAAAATACTTTTAATACTTTGGTAACCATTTTGACAACTTGTGTATTAAGATTGGGTTTTTTTTTTTTTTTTTTTTTTTTTTTTTGTTTCTTCCCTTTAGATTAAGACATGCATAGGAAAAAGAAGGAAAAATCTATTTTAACAAAATATCTTGTAGAAGAGATGGTACCAGGATTGATTAAAATAATAAAAATAAACTATTACCTTGTGACTATCATGTTGCAGCTATTTTTGTTCTATTTTGCTGTGAGTACATCAATCTATCAACAATACTTCACGGATCATCAAAATTTTAAAGCCTGAAAATTTCAAAACAAAATATTTTAAATAATAATAAAAAAAAAACAAAATAAACAAGAATTTATATGGTAAAAGGTGATATATATATATATATATATATACATACATACAAATAGATAATAATTTGGATTGTCATAGAAAAGGCAAGGTCTCACTGTGACTGTAAATTTCACTCCTCAACCCCAATTACAAGATGGCCTCAATTAAGAGTTGCTTGTAATTGGTGGTGTGAAGTGAAGTAAGCAATTGGCAAAAGACCAAGGAGGAACAACCACAATACAAGTAAAAGAGATGAAATCAAGTAATCACAACATCCAAAACGAAGTCACAGTCCATTCACTGGATTTTCATGTAGTAAAAAGTCAAAGTAAAAAGTAAAAAGTATATTTTTAGCTAGATAATTTTATTATCTTTTCAATGACATAAAAATCATGTAATTCCAAGTTACTATGAGTAAGTCATGATTGATTAAAGATAGAATTTAAATAACAGAAAAGTTAAGTGAATAATTTTTACCCCAAGGGTAACTCGCTTAAGAAATCAGGACTTCAAGCATCACCAACGCTCACTCGTAGAGTATATTCCCCCCATGAAGAGGCCTTGAGGCCTTAACCTTATCTTCCTACCTATACCCAAGGTGCTACAACCCATATGGGAATTGTGCACCTCTCTTCCTACAAGGACTACACTAGCTGCTGGTCCTCCTATTTTTTACTAGTAAAACTACTTTTTTTTCATTTTTGACTACACCATGGTGTTCAAAAACATCCTACTAGCTTAGAAAGCTTGCATAGTCTTCAAATCTTGTTTCATTTCTTCATAATGGCTCTCAAGGTGATAAAACTCAATTTTACCCAAGTCTTGAAATTTTCTATAAAAATTCATAAAAAATTCTAAATAAATTCTAAAAAATCCTATAATGTTTCTATAATACTAATATCCATATGAGGCTGTATTTTCCTATCTTGGTGATTTTTTATAGTAATAAAATCAATTTAAATCCACTAAAAATCCTATTTTTTATATAATTAACTAAAAAGACATGAAGCTCTTTTTCATGCTTCTTCTAACTACTAACTAATCATTGATAGGATTTTATAAGTAATATATGTAGATAGGAGCCAATGAAGATATTGGTTTCAATAACTAACTCTTAATACTTAACAATAAGAAAAATACTAAACTAACTAAGATAATTGCCTCCAAGACTTACTAAGACTCCATTTTTATAACTTTTCTTCTAATAACACTTTTGCAACTTATAAATACTTCTAAATTATAATAAATACTCGAATAGTCAAAAAAAAAACTCTCTACTTTTAAAATTTGTATAATTAAATGACTTAAAACTATGTTTTTAACTAATCCACTAATTAAGATCAATTTAAGGGACTCACACTCACTAAGAATATTCTAAGATAAAATAATGGTTTTGTTACTTAATTCAATTAATTGAGTGTTTTTATTAGAATTATCTTGTTGTGATGATTTTGCAAGATAGTTCTATTTTGAAGAATGTATAAGAACAATGAATAAAATATCTTCCAAATATTATATCTAATTAAAAAAAACTTAAATTTGTACTGAGATTTAAAAAGTAATTCCTTATGATTTGCAAACATGTAAAATAACAAAAATCCTTAGACTTAATTTCTTAAATATTACTGCATTCTGATAATTATCAACCTTTTGAATGTCATGAAATCTTTGTTGTAAAATGAAATCCATGTAATTGCATGTTCTTATAAAAAATAGTAAAAAACAAAGGTATCCAAAGAGAATGATCAAATCAATTTAAATACTTTTTATGTATTATTTTAAAACTTTATTTTCACATTAGCTAAACTTTGCATGACTAATGATTTGTATACTTTTTGAGAATCTAGGCAAAATTTGAATAAGTTTTTTTTAATTAGATCTAAAACAAATGAAATATATATTTTTTATTTTTAAATTATTATTCTATTCTTTAAATTAAATATCTATCTAAGAATTACATATAAATATATATATATATATATATATATTATTAAAATGATATTAATATAATATGTAGGATTAAATTTCAAAAAAAATCTATCAAATCAAAATTTTTAGTAGTACTTAAATGACGAATATATTAATAAGATAATTATGTGACAAGTTATAATAAAAAATTAAAAAATATTTATTAAGTTAAATGATCTTTAACATTTGAATAAATAAAAATATACATCAGTTTCAAATTAATAAAAAAAATTAATAATTTAATCTTATTAATTATATTTAATTTATAGTTTTTTTTAAAATAAAAATAAACACTATTAATATGAAAATATAATAGAAATTATATATATATATATATATATATATATATATATATATGTATATTATTTTATATATAATTTAGAACTTTATTGAATAGATATGCATATATATACATATAGATATAACAAAAATACACAAATCAAAATCAAAAAATAATTCAATGTATTCAAGAATTTCACACAAAACACAACAATACTACCTTAACAATATGCATCTAAGTTTATGTTTTTCAATACAATAAGAATATGATATAAATAAATATATACTTTAATTTACTTCGAGTTTTAAAATTAAAAATATACAATAGAATAATTATTTAGATATAAAATACTTGATGTCTTATTATATATATATATATATTAAGAATATTTTATAATAAGATACTACTTAAGAATAGCATCATAAATATAGATAAATATAAAATATATTTATATGACAAAAAAATTATATAATTTTTTATATTAATTTAGATAATAATCTTTGCATAATAAATAATACAACAACATTTTTATATAAATAAAAATATAAATTTGACTTCTTTTAAATAATGCTAATTAGATATTTAATTAATATTAATTAAAAAAATTATTATTTATAAAAAATTATTTAAGAAATATTTTAAATAATTAGGATTTAGTTTTAAAAAAATAAAAATACATATGTCTTTAAATAATTTATTATTTTTATTTTTAATATAAATTATTTTATCAAATATAATCTAAATATGAATTTAAACTTGTAAATAAATCAAATATATTTGATCCATTTTAAATTTAATCGAATAAAATAAAATTATTTATATATATTTATTTTTATATAGGGAATTGATATTGCTACAATCTAATTGATAACATCTACAATGATAGGGAGAAGGGATCAAAGAGAGTGCAATACTCTCTTGTAATGGTTTTGTTGATTGATTAATAAGGTGGATTTATGAGTAATATATCTATGAAAGTATGTAGAAAAGCCAAAGAAAGAAAGAAATATATATATATATATATATATATATATATATAAGCTTGATTATGAATAAAAGAAGATTGTCTTTGGAACCATCATCTTTGGAATCTTCTCTACAACACATATCTCATATATATACATGAATACCTTAAACATAATCAAGATGCAACATCAACACCATTGCACATTTGCTCTATCTCAAATATTCCTTATGAATCTGCCTACAACTTCTTGAATTAAAGATCATATGCTAACACTTGAATGTGATAAGATTTCTTGTAGTTGTGGCAGATAATAATTAAGATATACAAATATCAATTAAGAATGTAGTATAAATTTTTTTATTCTTATTTTATATTATATTATATATATAGAGAGAAAGAAAGAGAAAAAAAAAAGAGAGAGAGAGAAAGAAAAAAAATGTTAAAATGAACCCAATTTTTATTAAATAAAACCACTTGTCAAATCCATTATTACATCCTTGCATCCTTCCATCTTTGTTCTCCTTTGTTTCTTAGTCCTTGTTTGTATTTTCAACACCAATTCCTTATCCCAACCTCTTTGTTTTTATTTCTAGCCATCCTTCTTTTCTTCTTCTTCTTCCTTTTCTTTGTTATGAGTGTCCATCTTTTGTCCCAATTGCTCTTTTTAGATAAGATATTGGCTCATGACTTCTTTTTTTAGAATTCTTATTTATAATATAGCTATTTTAGTGATCATGGTTGTATTTATCTTCTACTTTATTTTATTTATATAGATTCAAATATAAATCTAATTTTAATATATCTTTTTTTAAATAATTTATTTCTTAATATTTATTCTTATTTTATATAGAGAATTAATTATATTTCTTAATTTGATTAAACTTTGAGTGATTGGATTATATATTATGATGAAAAAAAAACAAGTAGAGATTCTTTGGCATCACATGAAATTAATAGGGATTACTTGCAATTTGAATATATAGATATTACATTTAGAAGCCTTAATTAGTACAAATAACTTTTAAGAGTAAACTTTGAAGCTGTTGAACAAAACAATAAAAGATTAATTTTAGCATTATTTTGTTATTCAAGTAGACATTCAATTTTTTTAATCATGGATTATTTTTTATTAGATTCTATATGATTTTTTTTAAAAAATAAATTAAAATAAATAAATAAAAAAATAATATTTGAGACATATTTGGTTGCTAAATTACATAAATTGTATTGTTGTAAAACTTTCTTGAGATAGTTGCAATTTGTAATCAAAATATTCTACAAAAGGATATAATGATTATGCAATGTATGTATATATTTAACTTTTATAATTTAATTGATATTATTTTCATTTTCCTTGTAAGTTTATGTAAGAGATGATTTAATAAATGAGATCACATTATAGACCATAGATTTAGAAGCAGAGGTTATTGATTAGTAGAGATTATATATCTTTGAATTAA